TACTTTTGCATAACTTACTTAAGGTAAAATTTCAGAATCAATAGATGAAAGACAAATATTATTTCTATGGTTTATAATATAAGTCATCAAACCCCAAAAGTATATTAATTTGTATACTCATCAGCATGTCCATGACTGTCTCATGGAATCCTCACCAGCTTCTTGAAATTCAATAAGCAAAAAATGTTATCTCTTTTTAAATCCTTTTCTGAGAACTGTCTATTTATGCCCTTTATCTTTGATCTATTGAGGATATTGATATTATACATTTTTATATTCTTCATAGAGAAAGAATATCATTCATCTAACATTTATTGCATTTTCTTTCCTCCAGCATATTACTTGATGCTAAAGTGTTTTAACAAAAAATTTTTTAAAAAAATTTTGTGCAAACTTGCTGTGTCTGGTTTTTTAATTCTGCTTTTTAATCATTTTAAGATGACAAAGAGCTTGCTTCCATAAGTTGTCCTTAAATTTTCATCTACTTTTTCTATGGCTTGATTTGTTAAATTTTAATTAATTCATTAATGAATTGGGGATTTCTATGGTTATCCAGTGTGAGATGGAGACCTAAGTTGGTTTTTACTGATAGTTTCAATATCATTTATTGAACAAACCTTCCATTTCTATTATATATTCCATTGTCTTAGTGCATCTTTGGAACTTCTGGGTATAGGCAAGTGTCTTATTGGCAATTTCAACAAAACAACTGTTTTTGTTTGCTTGTTTGTTTGTTTGTTTTAACCATTAAATGCAAAGTTGGTCAATGATGTGAACAGGTTACTCTTTGTCATGTGTAAAAAGTATCCTTCTATCCTTTCATTTAAATGACTTTTGTGTAAAAACTATCTACCGATAAAGCAGAGAGTTTTTCATTTTTTTGCTTTAATGATGTAATACATAATGTTAATACAATGTTAATAGATTTCCTAACATTGAAACAGATTTGGTCATTTGAACAATAGCTTTTCTCTTGTGCTACACCAGTCAAGTTTTGATATTCGGGTAAGTTGGTTTCATTAACACAAATTCATTAATATTATCTTATGTTCTAATTACTTTTAGAATATGGGAATTATCTATTTCTTGACATTTTAAATGAGCTAGAGCCTGGTTAAGAGTATTTTTTGATAGCATTCTGGTATGTTCCTCCTTTTAAAATTCATTTATTTCAGTTTTAATCTTTATAATTTTATTTCTGATTCCTCTACCACTTTTTTTTCCTTCTAAATGCTAAATGTTGAAGTTGAGTGTTTATTTATTTAAATTTCTTGTGTTAAAAAAAATAAGACTAAAGCTGTTGCATGGGAGTGGGAGCAGGTGGGTGGCTGCTCCGGGGATGGCTGGTGAGGTGATGGCAGTGCCGCAAGGAAGGGAGGCAGGCGTGTGTGGCGGGGTGGGAGTAGGGGGGGGGGCAGGAAGAAGTGGGGGAGGCTGGGGCGGCCTTGGGCTCTGGGTCCGAGGGCTGCCCCTCCAGGTGCTGGAGTTGGGGTTCTCCTGCCTGCAGCTGTCGGAGCTGCGGAGCTGCGCCATAATGTGCAAGCGCTGGTACCGCTGCCTGCACAGCGATGAAAACAGAGAGGTTTTGCAGAACTACAAGGCCAAGGTTATGATATAGCCGATTCCAAGAGCTTTTGCTGAGAGTTTTGTTTATAACTTCTATTTGGTCTTATTAGTAAACATTCATTTTGTAATGAAGTTTTGAAGGTGCCGAATGGAAAACAAAAACATAGTTATTGCACGTCGAACCTAGAATCAAATGTGCCTCAATATTTAACGACAAGCTATTCTTATCTAAAAGACTTAAATTCCCTAATATCCCATTTGCAAAGTTTATAAGATAGAGGTTCATATTTAGCATAAGCATTGGGGAACAAAGAGCCTTCATTTTTAACCTGATAAATAAATTTGTTACTGGAGACCAACAGTACAGAATATTAAAACAAACTGCTACAATGTTCAAGGAAATGGAATCTCTTTTTCACTGGTACTGAGAGGGCATTTAGGTTTAGAAGATAGTTGCCCTTAAAGATTGACTATAAATCATCTAACCCAATAGTTCTCAATCTTAGCTGTACTTTGGAGTCATGTGTGTTTTTAAAAATATTGATACTTGGGTCCCCTACCCTAAGATTTTGATGTTGATTGGGATATGACATGGTCTTAAGGATTCTTTAGAACTTTCCAGATAATTTCCAATATGTTGCCAAGGTTGAGTTCAAAATTCACCTTAGTTTTCTCCTCTAAAAAAAGAACAAGTCCTTGTTCCTTCCCTTCACTACTCCACAAGAACGTAGAGGGTAGGGAAAATATTGCAAAAGGGCTTTGTGTTTTGGATAAGAAATGCTATTGAGATGCAAAGTAGTATTTGTTGTATTTCAACTGGAACTATGAGCAGGAAAAATGTGTAACTGAATTTGCTTTGCTGACTTGAGAAACAGGGAGCACTCTAGTTCTTAACTTTAGTGAAGCCAGGAGATGTGTAAGCAGACTTTACTATCTATTACTTGCATTCACACTGTGGTATTCTGTCTTACTTGAAATAGACAGTGTTAATGATCTGGTTTTACATAGGAAAGAAGAAATATTAAGGTTTAAAGTCTGTACTGGTCAATGGTTCATAATTATCAAAACATTTCATATAAAGGGAAAAAAGCTGTTAGGGCTATGCTTCTCTCAGAATAGTTTTGGCTGCATCCTGATATATATATATATATATATATATATATATATATATATATATATAATCAATTCAGAAAGTTCTTACAATTTCAGATGATATCCCAGGAGTTTTGTTTTGTAATTCTGACTTTACTTATTTGTAAATAGCCAATTCTATTTTTTATTTCCTAGATTTCTGTATATTGTTGTCAGAGAACCAATATAATTTCTGTGTTTTTTTTTTTTAATGGAAGGTTTTATTCTTGTTAGGCAGAGAATTATTTTGTCAACTGTTTATTCAACATTTGGTTTAAAACCAAATCCAAGAGCTACTAATTAAATTGCATTCATTATACTGATTAAATTGCATTCATTATACGGCTTATATAATTATATATCTTGTTTTATATTTGCCTACTTGATGTGTTCAAATCGATAGTATATTAAAAGTTTGCCACTACAATGTACCTTTACCAATGTCTCTTTGAATTCTATTTAATGATGTACTTTTTCAAATAATACTTAGAATTTATTTTGTGCTTTAAAAAAATTTATCTTTATTGTTAAAAGTTTTACCGATGCCGAAACCGGTTTGGCTCAGTGGATAGAGCGTTGGCCTGTGGACTGAAGGGTCCCAGGTTCGATTCCGGTCAAGGGCATGTACCTTGGTTGCTGGCATATCCCTGATGGGGGGTGTGCAGAAGGCAGCTGATTGATTTTTCTCATGGATGTTTCTAACTCTCTATCCCATTCTTCCTCTCTGCAAAAAATCAATAAAATATATATTTTTAAAAAATGAAAGCTGATGAATCATCTCAGCCTTTAAAAAAAAAAAAAAGTATTACCGATATCCTTTTCCTCCTCATTGACCCTATCCACCCCATTCTTGTTCCCTCCCCAGGCTTTCACAGCACTATTGTTTGTCTACGGGTTATGCATATAAGTCTTTTGGTTAATCTCTTCCTATCCCCACACACTCCCTCCCCCTTTTGCCAGTCCCTAGAGTGCTTTCTCTGGCTTCAAAAATTATCATTTGAAAAGTTCCCATTTGACGTCTGTCAGTAATTTTAATGCGATCTTTAGGATGGTCTTACTGGAGAATACTGGCAGCCAAATCTTGTCTATTTTTCACACTTACACCTCGTGCAGTCAAGTCACATAAGCCCTGTGCAGTCATGCCCGCAGACTTGGTCTTCTTGACCCTGGGACCAGTTCTAGTCGTTCACCTGTCTCAAGGCCTTTCTTTGCCCTGTGGAGACCTCAGGCCCTTACTTCATTTCCCTCTTCCATATTTCTCCATTTTTGTCCAGTTTTCTCCATGGGATAGCAAGAACTTACAGCAGCTCCAGACCTTACATCTTCCCAACTTCAAATCCTACAGAAAGAGCCCCTACCCCTGCCTAGAAACCCAAGCAAGAGTTTCATTGCTTTTCATCACCTCTGTGTGAGTCAGGTGTCCATCCCTGAACCAACGACCCAGTCACCGAGTTCAGAGGAGTGTGATGCGCTGATTGTGACCAGCCCTACAGTCAGGCAGGGTGAACTCTGTCACTCCTTTGGGAATGTGGGTGGAAAAGAGAAGAGGAAAGAGGAGCTTAAGTCAGCTCTGTCTTGTGTTTTCATGTTTTCCATTATGTTAAACTAGAGGCCCCGTACATGGATTTGTGCACCAGTGGGGTTTCTTGGCCTGGCTTGCAGGGTTGGGCTAAAGCTGACCCTCCAACATTCTCTGAGGAGTCCTGGATTGCAAGAGGGCAGTACTCAGGTGATGCACCCAAGAAACTGGCTACCTCCTCTCTGGTTCCTGGTGCATCACCTGAGAACTATAGCTGCCAAGTCACTGCACCTCTGCAGCTCCTGCATTGGGCATCCGCCTCCTGGTGGTCAGTGCACATCATAGCTACTGGTGGGATGGTCAGAAGGTCACTTAGGCTTTTATATATATCTAGATTCTCTCTTTACTTAAACAGGTTTGGATCAAGGTTTGTTTCGTTACTCCTTTCAACAGAAGGAGTTTTGATTGGGGAAAAAAAGACAAATGTTTAAGCATAATTTTATTTTTGTAAAAGAAAAAGGCACACACATGTGGTGTGTGAGTGTGTGTGTGAAAAAAAGGAGAGTCTGGAATGATATACATGAAATAAGAACAGTTCCATGTAGACAGCAGCATTAGAGATAGTTTTTATTCCCTGTGTTTTCTAATGGTTATTCAATGAGCATTCAATTGCTGGGTGATAAAGGGGAAGTGTTTATCATTCGTAACAAAGTCATATGAATCCATCACTTCTAGAGATCGAGAGGAACTTCATCTAATCTGTGTTGATGTTGTAGGGAAGAACATGAGCGAGCCAAATGAAAGCAAGAACTGCACCTTGCATGATGTGGATGAGCTGATGAAAACCGTGCAGCTGGTGGTGCACATCCCCACTTTCCTCCTGGGTCTGCTTCTCAACGTGTTGGCCATCCGGCGCTTCCGCAACTTCTTGAGGAAGAGGTGGCCGGAGTTCGCTGCCACCTCCATCTACATGATCAACTTGGCGGTCTTTGATCTCCTGCTGGTGCTCTCGCTCCCATTCAAGGTCGCCCTGGGCCACTGGAAGGATCCCTTACCATCTCTCTGTACCTTTGTGGAGTGCCTCTACTTTATCAGCATGTATGGCAGTGTCTTCACAATCTGCTTCATCAGCCTGGACAGATTCTTGGCCATCCGGTACCCAATCCTGGTCAGCCACTGCCGGTCCCCTAGGAAGATTTTTGGGATCTGCTTCACCATCTGGGTCCTGGTGTGGGTTGGGAGTATCCCCATCTACAACTTCCATGGGGAAGTGGGAAAAGGGTACACATGCTTCCACAATATGTCCGATGACACCTGGAGTGCCAAGGTTTTCTTCCCTCTCGAGGTGTTTGGCTTCCTTCTTCCTATGGGCATCATGGGTTTCTGCTCCTTCAGGAGCATTCACATTCTGGTTGGCCATCTGGACCACAGCCAAGACAGGGGCCAGCAGAGGGCCTGCATCTGGACTATTGCCTCCAGTCTGGCTGTCTTTGTGGTCTCCTTTCTTCCGATCCACCTCGCTTTCTTCTTGCAGTTCCTGGTGAGGAACAACTTAATTGTGGAGTGCAGAGCTAAGTGGAACATCAGCTTATTCTTGCAGTTGTCCATGTGTCTCTCCAACATCAACTGCTGCCTGGATGTTTTCTGCTACTACTTTGTCATCAAAGAATTCCGCACGGGCATCATGGCTCGCCAGCGTTCTGGTGGCCAGGTGGATATCAAGACCACCAGAGGTTAAGAGAAGAAAGTCCTGCTCAGAGGAGGGAAACTCCAACCCTGAATTCCAGGAGCAGATATCCTATCCCAAGACTGTATTGTGGTGGGATGATATGTGGTGCTTTGACTGGTGTGCTTTCCCTTTAGATGCTCATTGAATGCTGTGCCTGCTCATTATGCCCCCAAAACCTTCCCACCACACCCAGACAGCTCAACATAAGTCACCCAGCATTTGGAGATTCCTGATGAACCTAAGAACTAGGTGAATTCTTGATTTCTAAGTCTGAAAAGCATGAGGCAGTATAATAAGATGTCCATATGGACAAAGCTGGTTCTCAACTCTCCCCTACCTTTTGTTAGATCAGAAAATTCTGGAAAGGAAGAGAGTGGAGTTAGGAGAGAGAATCAAGAAAGTCAGCCATGATGGCAGGTATCCTGGGCCAAGATGCAGGGAAAGGGATGGATCAAGCTCCTCTTAGTTTGGGGATCCCAGGGTGGAGAAGACTTTGCTTTCCAGTCCCTTCTGGGGCTCTGTTGGCCAACAACTTTGAAGAGATGATAGCAAGTGGGATGATCAGAGCAGATCAGATACACACAAAGAGCCCCAAGTTTCTTATGGACTTTTGAAAGGCCTGGGAAGCCCATGAAAAGGTTGCAGAAGAATGAAGGGACTGGTATGGATCAGGCTATGGTGAAGCTGCAGATACTTTGTGGAAGCAGTGGGGTCAGAGTGGATAGCTGTTGGTGAGACCTGAGAGCCATGAGGTACATCTGGGGAAGGAAGGAGACATGCCAAGGGCAGCTCTTTCCCCATTGCCACAGGGTGTCCATTGCCTGAGTTTTAGCGCATGCCTGGGGGAGGAGAGGCGGTGGAAACAAGCCTGTAGAAAGGAAATTCCTGAATATGACTAGTTTGCTATCTTGAACAGACTGGGACGTTATTCGTTAGTCTTACCAGGTGTATTGGTTAATAATGCAGATTTTGTAATCAAAGAAAACACGATAATTTCAAGAGAAATATCAAAAGTGCTTTATTCAAAGTAATGTCCATCACTAGCTACACATTTCCCCCATTTTTCAGGTAATTTGAGGATACCGTCCCAATAAAACTTTTATTGTTTTGAAGCAAACCATTCAGAGACCAAACTTTCTGCTTCTTCGTACGTTTTGAAGTGCTGCTCAGAAAGTGTGTGTGCCATTGATCAGAACAAGTGGTAATCTAAAGGAGCAAGGTCTGGTGAATACAGCAGGTGGGTTAATACTTTCCAGGCAAGATCTCTTAACATGTCTTTAACTGGTTTTGAAGTGTGTGATGTTGTGTTATCGTGAAGCAAAATTACTTTGCCATGCCTTCTGGCCCATTCTGGTTGTTTTACGATCAAAGCGTGGTTTAAATTGACCTGGACATTCTTTGTCTTCCACATAGAAATCGTCACTTTTAAAGCATTTACACCAGCATTCACAAGTATCTTGAGATGGAGCATGTTCACCGTAAGCTTCCCGAAGTATACGATAATGTTCAGCAGCACTTTTCTTCTAAATAATGAATTAAAACTTCTCATAAATGCTCCTTTTTAAGCGTAGAAATATCTATGACGTTAACACCTTCAGAAAATTTGACATATGAATTTTTGAAGCTTGCTATCATACAACAAATAGCATAATATCAAATTGCATATATATCAACATATGTGTAATTGCATCTATTGAAAAAACCCCCCACACATTATTAACTGATACACATGGTAGTTTCCCTGAGAATGATGAGACAGAGTTAGGCTTGATTTGGTTCAGCCAGAGGGGAATAAAGAACATGTGTGTGTCTTGCCCACCTGAGTCCTGGCTGGGCGGCTGGCCACAGTGGTGTGTTCACGGAGCTGTCCTCTCCAGTGGCTGGGAGGGAGAAAGTGAGTCAGCCAGGAATGGAGGAACCATCTTGAGGACACAAGGCTCTTGGCAGTCCCTGGTTGGAGGCTGTAAACTGTTGAGTCATGACTTGGCTCAGGCTCCTGTCATGATCTGAGAATGAGCAGCAGTGATAGCTGAAAACCTTCGATGACTCAGTTGCGCCAAAGAGCCAAATGATTGCAAGGGTAAATTAGATTGTGGGTGGTTTTGGAGGGTGGAGTGAGTGGGAAGAGAAGTTACAAATGAGATAAGGGGGGAGGTTTTTCAGAAGAAGAGCAACCACCTTCTACCTGTAGGATAAGAGGCTTCCACAACCAAGCGGTGGATGGGAGGGTGGGGTGATCTTGGGGGAGGAAGAGGGTGGTTTAGATAAAACCTAATGGGAGGAGGAGGTGAGGTTGGGTGGTTGTCCATGACATGGAGTTCTGTGAAAAGGTGGGAGTGAGCAGGAAGGATGGAGGGCAGAGCTGCTTCTTGCCCGAGAGGTCCCAAACTTCACTAAGACCCATGGAAGGGCATGATCCCCTTCCCTGCCTCCCTGCAGCTGCCTCAGTAATGAGGTACACTCAGTGGGCTGGAGGGAAAGGTGGAAGTATCAATACAGGGGTGGGAATGGGTATGGAAGATAGATCTGCCCAGGACCAGAGGCTCCTGACCCTCAAACTGGACCTCCAGGGACTAGCGGCCAGGGTCATGGTTCTACAGACCCAGAAATGAGTCTTGTCCAGCTTCCCCAAGCCATGAATGCTCCTCACCCTGCTTTCTGGCTGCACTGTCCCATGGCCATCCTGGATGGAGATACGCCTGTGCTATGTCAGAAAGCCAGGCTGTTGTATCCAGCAGGACATTTGGGAAACAACTGGGGTCAGAGCTCATGGGAGAGTGAAATTAGGAACCACCTCTTTTCCAATTTCTCTCTTTGCATTGGGGACTGAGCGCTTATCCAGTGGAGGTGAGTGGCGCCCTTCATGCTGCGTTTGTATCTACCAGTGTGCTGGCCAGGCAGTCTTCCTAACAGAAAAGGGACAGCAGGGTCTGAGCACCTGTCATCCCCAATGTTGTTCATAAGCACAAAAACTTGGGTTGTGGGCAGCATGACCCTGCCTGAGCCAGCTGACAGAGCGTGGAGGAGACTTTTGACTCAAAAGCTGTGCCCATATAAAGTATAGGTCCTTGTAAGGGAATAGCAGTCTTGGGTTAATGTGACAACTGTGGACTGGTGGGTGAACCTTGGGACCGATCTCAGTACACTGAGGGGGAGGAAAGGGGCCTCTTCTCTCTCCCTGGGGGGACTCATCCTGGCCTGCAAGTCACAGAGGACTTCTCAGGATCCTCAAGAGTGGGCACAGGCCCAACCCTGCAGGCCAGGCTGTTCTGCAGAGGGTCTACTTGCTGGGTCCGAGCCTAGCCCTGGGTCAGCACTTGGACCTAGCAGGCAAACAAGGGGCAGAGAGTCAGGGTCAGGGTTAGGGTACAGATGCCTCGGAGGGCCCAGCCCTGCAGCAAGTGCAGCTAGTGAGTTGGGAAACCTTGAACTTAGCTTTGGAAAAGGTTGAAATTCCTGCTACTAAAGCCAGTGGAACTTGGAGGTGTTTGGGCATAAATGTGAGTTTATTAGCACTGCTAGAAAATCTGAGACATACTTGTTACTTGTACACGTGTGAAACCAGCACAATTGATTGGAAAAAATGAGTTGATGAATCTGATTTGCCAAATAGATAGATTCTTATCTGCTGCATGACCTTGTCTTGGGCTGTACTTCCTGGCTCCAGGGAAGAGCTGGCTCCTGATCGTCTTTGCCAGATGACCCAACAATCCAGGTCCAAAGAACCAAGAGTGGGCCAGATCAAAGGGGCACCTGGACATCAAGTATGAGGGCATAGGGACTCACACTCAGGCCTGGCCCAGAGGCACAGCTGGGGCCTGTCCCAAGTGGCCAGGAGCCAGATCCTATACCTTGCAATTCCCCACACATTGGACTCTACTTGGTTCTCTCTGATAGCAACTGGGCCACAGACCCCGTAAGCCCTGTGTTCCTTCCAGTGCTGGGTCCACCCCTTCTCCTGCCATCTGGTCTCATTACCATGACACTGGAGCTGCATTCAAAGGCCCTGGTTCCTCTGCATACACCATGGCCCAGCACAGAAGACCTGCTGGTCACTGATGGAGTGAAGACACAGCCAGTGCTCCAGAAGCCCTCCATTGCTGACTCCTCCTCCTGACCACCGGCAGATGGGTCTGACTCTCCCAGGTTGGATCTGAATTTTCCTTCCTGGCTCCTCACCTGTGAATCCTACTAACCTGCCCAGTCCTCCTGAAGAACGTGAAGAACTGCTAGGCACCGGCCTGGGCCACTCCTTTCTCCTGAGTTCTCACACTCCTGAGCACAGCCTACTCACGGCCTGGGTGTCGATGGCTAACTATGGATATCCTGACTCCTCTACAGCTGCTGTGGCCTGAACTGTGTCCCCCCAAAATCTATATGTTGAAGCCCTAACCCCAATATGATGATATTTGGAGGCGAAGCCTTTGGGAGATGCTTAGATTAGATGAGGTCCTGAGGTTGGAGCCCTCGTGATGTATGTGCCCTTGTAAGAAGAGACACCGGGGCACTTCCTTCCTCTCTGTCTCTCCACCTGAAAAAAAACCGTGTGAGGACACAGGGAGAAGGTGGCTATCCGCAACCCAAGGAGACAACCCTTAGCAGATATGAACTCTGTTGGCGCCTTGTCCTTGGATTTTGGGCTTTCAGAATCATGAGAAATAAATTCATATTATTTTTTAAAATATATATTTTATTGATTTTTTTATAGAGAGGAAGAGAGAGGGATAGAGAGTTAGAAATATCAATGAGAGTCATCGATCAGCTGCCTCTTGCACACCCCCTACTGGGGATGTGCCCGCAACCAAGGTACATGCCCTTGACCAGAATCAAACCTGGGACCTTTCAGTCCACAGGCTAACACTCTAGCCACTGAGCCAAACTGGTTTCTGCAAATTCATATTATTAAAGCCACCCAATCTGTGGTATTTTGTTATGGCAGCCCCAGAAGGCTGATACAACAGTCATCTTCTGCTAACCCAGGAGCCACATCCCCTCAGGGACAAGGGCTG